GCACGCACGCACGCACGCACGCACGCACGCACGCACGCATTTCCCTCCCAGGAAACTGCGATCGCTCACGCGCGATACGCGAGGTGCCGATTATCGACTCACGCTCTTTAATCGGTCAAGTTGCACTGCACACGCGCGCACGTGCGGATTTTTAAATTTCGTTGTACTATATTTGCGAACCTATATGGTGACGTATTAGAGGCACGCGAGCCTCGTTATTATTCGTCACGGAAACTTAACGATTGACGTACGATAAGCCGAGGAACGAAAGTATTCCAGAGCAAGCCGCGATTTGAAAAAAAAAAATATCTGTATGTGTGACGTAATTACAATGGCTAAGCACTCATTGATTTTCCGCGAAATCCTCTCCTCTCTCTTTCTTTTTCTTGTTTCACATTCTCTGACAAATAATTTCGAATTGATAAGCGTAGAAATGCTCAGTTTCCAAAATATAACATAACGTTTCTCTGTTACCACCGATCAGCTGACGTAAATTATTGTAAATATTTTTCTGGAAAAGATATCGCAATGATAATAATTTGTTCAACTATGAGGAGCTATAGGTGTGTTTACATGAGATCTGTTCTTTTTTGATGAATATTTTGAATTGATGTACGTTAGAGTCGTACAACATCGTCTTGATAAGTTGGAGTGAAACAAACTATGTTTATTTCATTCCAACTTACTGCACCAAGACAATATACACCAGTTAGAATATTTTTCGAAAAGAACAGACCTTTAGATAAATTTCTCTGTTATCGCTTGGTGAGCTGATGTTTTTGTAGAAACGATATTACGATGCCTATATTTTTTTTAACTGGGACTATAGGTGCGTGTTCACACGAATCACGTCACGATAAGCAAGATTTTCCCATCTTCCTGATCAATCCGATTTCTATCAATATTGCATCAATATGAGTCAGAATCCTGATCTACAAGCCCTCGTGTTGTATTTCCAGACGAGGCCTAACTCCACCACACAGGGTAAAGTCCATTTCCATGGCAACGTTCACCCAGGATGAGATAGACTTTATAAAGGAGCACGGCAACGAATATTGCAGGAGAATATGGCTGGGCCTGATAAACTCAAACTCCCCGCAGAACTTGGACACTAAGGACGAACAAAAGATGAAGGATTTGATGAGCGCCAAGTACGAGCTTAAAAGATATTATCTGGACCCGTCAATTGCAAATCAAAATACGGTAACGACACAGCCAAGGTCACAGTCTACGAACAGCATTCCGAGGGTACCAAACTCAGGAATATCCACGACGCTGCCCGCACCGGTCGGCCAGAAGTCGAGTAACACGGATGCATTAAACAATTCCAACAATTTCTCGACGGACTTCGTCGCCGACTTCAGCAAAGTTCCTGATCCTTTCTGCCCGACGACGACGGCGCCGGTCGGTCAACAGCCGATCGCACCGCAGCCGTTCTTCGCTAATTTTGACAATAATCCAGTCTTCAATAATTCGAAGAGTGAGTATCAGAATGTCTCTGTCTCTCTTATGTTAGAATATCGAAATTGTAACA